GGGGGTGGGCGATGTTGGTTTCGGGGTTAGAGGTATACTCGAGCAATCATTTCAGGGCTTCATCCACCCTCCACGATGCCAGAAAGACGAGGGCCTGTGGGAATCTGACTCTGGCTCTCCCCTTTCATCAGATTCTTTGATCAAAATTTTCAGGAGTGGTGGTAACGTCAGTTTTGAACACGGATCCTTAAGCAAAGGATGACAGAGGCATGATAGGGTCTCAGACTGACTGTTCTATACAAGGTTTTTAATCACCCCAAACAACTGACTGTCATTTTCCTAGAGGAAAGGCTGCTATCTATACTCCTACACAATAAAGCAAGAACATTAAATAGAAGAACCTCAATACAGGAGGCCATTAGGCCTGGGCAGAACATCTACGGGCAGCCACCAGGATCCCCTAGTGCCCCTGGGTCCTTCCCTCAGTCACGAGTCACTTGCCAACGTCCTTGAACACACAGGGACATCCCACTGTGGGCCTCCATGAGGTCTGCCAGCCCGACAGTTTAAAAGCTTGATTATTTACCACTAAGCAGCTAATTTTCAACAAAGAAACAAAGTCGATTTAAAGAGGAAGACCCAGTTTCTTTAACAAATAGATAATGTCTTCCAAAAAACCTCGACATCCATACCAATACTGTGAATCAGGATCCATACTTCACACCATACACAAAAATTAATACAAAATGGATCAAAATCTAAGTGTTAAAACTAAAGCTATCAAGTTCCTGGAAGATAACATAGGGTGACAATTTGGAGCCCTAACTTTGAGAATAACCTATCAAAGATTAATGGAATACATGAGTGACAGGTGATCAAATAGATAACTGAGACTTATAAAAAATTAAATATTTAATGGTCACCAAGTCTCTTTACCAAAGAGATAAAAAGAGAGCCTATAGGTAGAGGAAATTCCTTGGCAATGGCTTAATTTCTAAAGTTTATAAGCTATAACTTAATTTCTAAAATATATAGTAAATGCCAATGCCTCAACAACAGAAAGACAAATAATTTAACTTAACAATGGGCAAAGGTCTACAATTTCTTCAAACCAGGGACACCAGATGAGCAAGATGGTGCTTTGAGAGTTACCGATCCTGACTGTTCTGACCAGGGGCACAACAAAAGGTTGCAGAAAAGTGGGGAAAATGTCACACGGAATTCAAATGCCTTAAAAAGGCCAGACCCACTGGACCAAAACAAACTAGAGGAACCCTTGAACCTCGCTGCAGATGACCTCTGAGCACAGAACCGAGGCTCTCTCTGCGGGTCACCTTTCAGTCAGGTCAGGGACTGGCTCACAAAGAGACAGCGCCAGCCCCTCGTAGCGTGCTCACACCCACAACGAAGGACCCGGCACTCGTTTACCCAACCACGAGGGTGAGAAGCAGGTAGCGGGAGGGCAGCAGGTCAGGAAACACAACAGGATGGAAATAAGGACAAAGCTGGCACACTGTGAAACACTGTAACCGCCAATTGTGAAAGGGGAACATCGGCTACAGTGTAAATTGTCACCTTAAACACAATAAGACACTATTAAAAAAAAAGAAAAAGGGAAAAAAGGCAGGTGGTTGAAAAGATGAGCAAAATGGTGGGTGCACCCTGATGGTTCAGCCCGCGCCAGGAAGGAATGGAGACTGGCCGGGCGGACAGATGTTTCTTACACACGAATCACGCAGAGACCGCGAACTCGGTTGTGCGCGAAAGGCAGAACAACATTGTCTCCTGCTTTCCCAGCAGGTGCGCTAAGCCACTGCCATCGGTTTGCACGGGGACCTTCCCACGGACAGACCGGCAGAGAGCAGGGTCAGCAGCGTCCCACGTGCGGGCTGCTCTGAGGACCAGTCCTCCTCGGCGCGCAGGAGGCACCAGCCCAGCAACCCTGGCAGCGTGAGAGGAAGTCAGGGCAGAGTCCTTGGCTTTAGAAACCCTTTAACACGTTCAGAAGGACTAATGTGGGGGTGGGAAAGCGTTTCCCCAGATCCGGGACACTCACTCTTCGTCTCTGATGGAGTCGTAGCAGGAGTCGCACATGCGGACCTGGAACTCGAAGCCCATGACCGGGTAGCTGGAGCGCTTGCTGCTGCACTTCCCGCAGACGGCCTGCCCGCATTTCCTGCAGTGATGCTGCCCGGAGGACCCAAGGGAGGAAAGGAGCAGTTTAACCTTTGCTTTAGGGCTCCCCTTAGGGCTGGGGAGTCAGAGCAGGTAAGGTTCGCCTTGAATTGAAATCATTACAACCCAATGTATCAATGAAATCTCAAAAGATACTCAATTTTGACAATTCTTGTGGATATCCACACAACCCTACCTTATCAGGTCACAGACTATTTTCTATTCACTCATATTATTTGTCTCGATCAATGCCAGTGATCCATTACCAGCTGCCATAGAGCTGACCCCAACCTCTGGTGACCGGCTGTGTCAGAGCAGAATGGTGCTCTGTAGTGCTTTTAGTGGCTGATTATTTTAGGAGACCCCAGGCCTTTCTTCTGAGGCACTCTAGGGTAGAAATGAACCCCTCGTCTTTTCAGAGAGCTACTTTCCCCAAGTCGTATTGTCTAGCGAGTAGAGTGTAGCCTCTGTCCGGGGCTTTCAGACTCAGCTTGAGCAGCTTAGAGCCTGCCAGAGAAGGACCTGCACTGTAAGAGCTTCTTCTCTCCCCACAGACAGGCGCTCCGCTGTCCTCGGCAACCGTCCCTGCTTCTCTATGCAGGGGAGCACAGGAACCACCTGACAACGGCCTGGCTCTTGGTCAGCCTCCTGATGGCAGCAATAGGAACTGACAGGATTTGCAGGAACCAAGTGTTTGCGAAAGATCAAAAGGCTAATTAGGCAACAAGACAAAGCCTATGACAACCAGCAATGGTGCCCTGTGGGCAGCTTACCTGTCTCAACCCCAGAGTTTTTGTGTCCCACATCTGCTTTATGTTCCAGAAAAAGGGCTGTTCGCATTTCTGACAAGAATCACTTTCCAACCACTGAGGAGCCTGTGGGAAGAGGAAGTCCAAGCCATTACCGGTGCGGCCCCTTAGCGAGTGGGCCCAGGAATGAACAGCACCCAGCTGTGACCTCGCTACAGTTTGCACTTCCTTCGAAAGCTTTCCTATTTCATAGCAGTTGGCTCTCGCCAATGGTATGTGTACCTACATCCTTTTAGCCGTGCTCACAGGGCTCCTCAGTACCTAACCTATAGCTCACAGGTTATCACGTTTCACTGAGAACTCTGGAGAACTTCCTGTGTACCTGCTTTTTCAGGTCAGGTGTGTGAAATGTAATTCCTGCAGAATCCGGTGAACTGCCGCCTAGAAGGCTGTCGAGTCGCCTGTAACCAGGGAGGGTCTGGAAGAGAAAGGCTCCGATCAAGTTCTTCCAGGTGAGCTCCGCACAGAGCAGATGGGTCCCTCTCCTTCCCAGTTCTCAAGAGGGAGTTCCTCACTCCCGGGTGTGTAGACCCGCCCTTAGCAGCGGACTCACTGCAGACCAGCGGGCTCTCGAAGACAGCCTGGTCTTACTCACCTTGGGACAGCTAAGCGCTAATGGAATAGGGTCTTCATAAATTTATGTTGAAACGGATGAATTAAACTCTCAAAGTAACTTTATTTGGAATTGAACAAATATTTTTCTAGACAAAATATTTACAAATGTTCAAGTACAAGATGAACCTACTAAAAAATGGATTGGCCTTCGAACATCACCGAGATGCTAAGGGCAGTGAAAAGAGAAGACGTTATTTGCTGTAACTCCAACCAAACGAAGATGAAGAAATAACAAGTAACTTTTATGCAAATCTGGTAAGAGGCCACAGTGGAGGACCCCGGGATCTCTCAATGACACTCAGCTCAGATAACAAGGCAGTGAAGACGATGAAGACAATGAACTTCAGAGAGGTTCTGCAGGGAATTTCTGTCGGGTACAGAAAGGATGAAGACTCCCAAGTCTTTATCACGTGTCTTAACACTGGCAATACTTCTGGCTTTGCTATTTCTTACTTGAGACAAATCACCAGAGTTATTTTTGGTTTATGACACCCAATGGTAAGGTAGATTGGGGGGGGGGGCAGAGGTGGGGGAGTGACCAACAAAATGAAGTTAAATCAAAGAGGAAGAGGGATTCTTGAAACAGCTGGGGAAATGGTGGGAAAGCGGAGAAAGGGAGGAAAGAGGGAGAGAAGATGATCACCTGCCAGCCCACAAACACCTGAAGCCGAGAGGTAGGAAAGGCTTGTCCATGGGGGGATCCAGGGAGCGTGCCGTTGACACTCTAGCTCCAGCTCCACTCTGACTCACCACAACCCAGTGCCAGGGTGGGACTGGGCACCAGGGGTGTTTCCAAGGGTGATTTCTTGGAAGCAGAGTGCCAGGCCTTTCCTCTGAAGCACCTCTGAATGGACTCAAACCTCTAACCTCTTGGTGAGCAGCTGAATGTGTTACTGTTTGCACAGGCACTTAGAACTTTGACTACTAGCCTCCAAAACTGTGAGGCAATACTGTACGCCAGATACTTCCTGTTATTTCATTAGGGCAGCCCCAAGAAACTAACGCATGGGGTTTGCTAACGGATCCAGTTAGTCCGTGAAACTCAGACTCACAAATAATTCAAGGCCACATTCAGCAAGCGTATGTATAGATTCGTGGTAATGTCACGTGGTGGCCTGCTGCAGCCCACTGAGGACATCATGGGATGTCACTGAACAGAGGGCCTAGTACAAGGCAGTCTTTACAAACTGCAGGATGTACATTTACTGAAGCTTCCAGACTCTGTGGCCACCTTATAGGTCAGAGCTCACTAGTATTTGAGGGTACGCTAAGATTCATGTGCATTCCCCAGGTCCTGTACAATCTTCTGCAGCATCATAAAAAAACCAGCCAACTGCCACCGAGTCCAATGCAAACCAGAGAGACCCTATAGAGAGGCTACAACTGCCTCTTCGGAGTCTCAAAGCTGTACATCTTTACAAGGGAAGAAAGCCTCATCTTTCTCCCTCGCAGGGGCTAGTGGCCTCAAACTGCTGATTTTGAGGTTAGCAGCCCAATATGTGACCCACTGGGGTTCCTCTCTGGCATATCCTAGCTGACAGCTTTGTTTTGTGGTTGAGAATATGCACAGCCAAATGGACACCGATGCGGCAGTTTCTATGTGCAGCTCGGTGACACTGATGATATTCTTCAAGTTGGGAAACCATTTTCGCCTTTCTTTTGTGAGTCGTTCCTCTCTCATTAATGTAAACGCATGACCTCCGAAGGTTCCCCTCTAATCTGCTGTCCCTTTACTGACCTCCTTTGTAATGCCTGCATGGAGAGGGAATTATTTAACGTGGCTCTTCTAACCAATCTCTAACTTTCACCAAAGACCTTCTCCTGCATGGGTCTGGTAAGGAGGCGGGGGAAGATACTGACAGAATTCATCTGTGAGTGGTTGTAATACGATACCCTGGCATGCCATCTTGCTGCATATAAAATGAACCTTCTGAGAAGCAGGAGGTAGGGATCTCATTACCAGTCAGAGGTAGGAGTGGAACTCTGGACCCCAGATTCCTGAGCAGTGAAACTCCTGGATCTAGAAGACAGCTGTACCATCAGAGCAGCAGCAGAATCAGGATCCAGGGCATGGAACAGAGTGATGGACTCCCCACCCGACAGAACAAGTATAGCTGAGTGCTTTTGTACAGGAGACTGGCTTGTGGAGTGGGGTGCCTCTGGGCACTTAATTGGGGAAGCTGGGCTTGTTGACACTTGTGGAAGTGAACTGTGTGCCTTCGAGCTGAAGCTTACTGGAGTGGAGTGCCTCTGGGCACTTAATTCAGGGAGCTGTGTTTGCTGGTCCCCAGAGCTTGAGCTGAATGGATGCCTTTGGGTTGAGGCTTACAGTAGAGTGATATGCCCTTTGGGCTATTTATTAGCAGACCTGGAAGAACTTTGTAATGTGACGGTGAACAACTATATCCTGACTGATTCTCACTTGCACTACAACCTGTTGACTTCCTTAATAACCACTTTCATCATGAATATTGTCTGTGAGTTTGAGGAAGCCCCTGCAACAGACATTAGAACATAGAGGTAAACTAGGGCATGCAAATTAAGATGCCACAATGTTGAAGGCAGACAGTCTTTATTAGTTAAGCTCTTGTTTGGGGTTCAGAAGACTTCAGGGGATCTTTGTGGTGTACGAGACCCCATTTCTTTTGCTTTCTCCATCAAGGGTTGTAGATGCCATTAGAAACAATGGCTAGAGTGAGGGTGGGGGGAAAGCGGAGGAGGGGTGGGGGGGGGAGAGAAACAATGGCTAACAGGCCTTTGGGCAGAGGTGAGGAAGTGCATCCTGCCTGGAAATCATGAAACAGCTGGAAAAAGCCTCAAGAATGTACGTAACCTTGGAGCCAGAAGTTTATTTTCAGAAGGTTATCTGAAATAAAAGATTTGAGCACTTGTACGACAAGATCTACAATGTTCACTGCAGCGTTACTTAAATAAGTGAAAACCAGAATTATTTCTAAAACTACAGTGTGTCTAAAAGAAGGAGAGACCTTCAAAGTCATCCTATTCAACTATTTTACTTTACGGGTGAAAGAAATGAAGACTCAGAGAAATCAAGGCCCCTGTCTAACCAATGTCTCCCAGCCAAGTTAGTGGTGCAACCAGGGCTAGAGGGCCATGTGGCAGTGAGTCAGCTGGCTTTTTAAGATACTACTGCTGCCACGGACGCAGACAGAGGAGCAGGGTCCAACGGACTCCCAGAAAAGCCGAGGCAGAGAGAGCTGTGTCTGTGCAGGGCCTCATGGAAACCACAACCACTTTCCCAAGGGTCATGTCAGTGTGCTTATCAGAGCCAAAACTGCCCCTGGACGTTCAGTCTGGCCATAAGGACTCTCATGGGTGCAAACTCTCACATGCGGCGGGCACGCAGTGGAGAATGGCAGCAGGACCCCACCGGACAATAACCAAGAGAAGCGAGAGGTTGGTATTTATGCAGCGGGACCCCAGAATGCGGCCCCCCTTACCTCTTCTCTGCTCACATCCATGTTCCACACGGTGATGCCACCATCCGAGGAGCAGGAAACCAGCTGCCGCGTGAGCTGGAGGTAGCACAGCGCCTGCACCCTGTCACTGCCGAGGAGACCAGGGCAGTTACTTTTCTAGATGCGGACCGGCTCGTTTCCACCCCCCATTAGAATCGACAATTGGTACTTCATCGCTGACTATTTAGTGTAGTCAGATCTGCTCTAGTATACACAATGTGGCATTCTCCATGTGGTGAGACAGACTAGTCATTTCTATAAAACAAATACCACTTATTTACAAATCAGCTGTTAAGAACTAAGGGCCAGAGAGGAGTTGAATCAACAAAATTTCTTTATAAGGGACTCAAGATGTACCTGTTGGTTCAGAAATGAGAGTGATCTCAGGACCTTGCTGGAACACACTTCACGTAAACATATAATCCAGAACAGCTGGAGCCCACCAAAGAAGGAAAAGAATGTTCCTGGAGTCAAGGTCAGGAGGCCAGGGCCTGAGATGAGCATCACAGCTCTGTGAATGTGGCTCCGCCGAACTAGAAAGTACTCCTTCCCAATGAACCACAGCGGACAGTTCGGAAAAACAAGCTTGGCAGCCACTCCAAGAAGGGCTTACATTCCAGTGTCATGTTACACATGATTGTCCAAGGTCAAAGTCCTCACCCGAGTCTCTGATCCACACCTGCTTTCAGGAGCCACTTCAATGGGGTGGCATACATGGAGAGAAAGGGGAGGAATGTGACTAAGGAGGTTTTACTACCAAACACCAGACACGCAAGGCTAGTATAGAGTGTCCTGAGCCCTATCGAATTACTATCTTAAGAGATGGGGTTTTGACAAAATCAGTTAAGCAGTCAGGGAACCCACCCTATCTCTCACTTAAGACATCTGGAAAAGCATTTTCCTACGCATTGTTTACTTTAAAAACCACATCCATACCTTCTGAAAACGAAACAAACTAAACCTAATGCCACCGAGTCAATTCCGACTCATAGCGACCCTTTAGCATTTCTTAGTCTGTACATTTGTATGGGAGCAGAGGGCCCCACCTTTCTCCCTCGGAACAGCTAGTGGGCTTGAAGTGCCGATCCTGTGGTTAGCAAAGTACTTTCATTAGAGTCTCAGATTAATAATACTAAAAGCAGTAACACGCACTACATGTCAGGGACTGTTCTAAGCCCTGTAGGTGGATAAACAAACAGAAAGACCCAAACTCATGGCTCTCATTGATTCCCAACTGATGTGGATAAACATATCTAATCCTCACAGCAGCCCTGAGAGATGGGTCCTATTATCACTCCCATTTTATAGATGAGAAGACAGAGGCAAAAGGAGGTATTAAGTACCATGTTGCCAGCCATGTGGGTCAGGAAAGCTGAATTCTGAACCTAGTCAGTCAGGTTGTGTTGACTTGAATCAGAAAATATAGCCAGTCGACACAACTCTTTATTCTCACCAGATCACTCCATTCATGTGCTACACACACGTTTCAAACACTACCTTGTTTGAACCGGGGCCAGCTAGTCAAAACAATGGCTTCGTCAACATGGAAGACAGACAATGAATACAATCAACGTCTCTGGGTTTGGATTATCCCTCAGAAACTAGAGTCGATACAGTGGCTGAACTAGGTCACAATACCCTTGAATGAAAGTTGTGATTTAAGCACACTACTGTTTAAATTTATACTCAACTAATACACAGCATTACAGTAAATCAGAAAGAAAGAAAAAAAAAATCACCATTCTCTCCCCCCTCACCGACAGGAAGCTGCTTCTGCGTCACAGTGACTTAGGAGGCAGAGTAGTTCCGCCCTGCGGCGTCCTAGCCTGTTCTCTTTACAGAAACACACAGCACAGCGTTCTCCCAGAGTGGCTGATGGGCGTTAGAAAACCCAACCTTTCAGGTTATCAGCTGAGCACTTACCACTGCGCTACCAGAGGCCCTTTAAAAAAGAAAAGTAACAGATCAGAGTAAAACGAGCGCATGCCCTGAACAGACCTCCACAGGACACTTCTTGTCGCAGCTAAGGTGCCACAGAACCAGGCACGTAACGTGCCACAGAACCAGCTACGCCGCAGCACGTTTTATGGAGTAGGCCGTCCTTCTCAGAGTCCAACTATTGCAAGTTCCCGACTGCTGCCTGACTGTCAGAAACAGTTGTCAGTGGCGCATGTCCAGCATCCTGCGCTTGTTAACTTAATTCTCTACTTTGTGTCACACGCAAACACAGTGCCAAGGGGTTTATATCCCAAACTACACTTTAGTCCTGGGAGCAGAGAAGCATGTCCTCTCAGTATGAACACTGCACTTCAGAGGGCCTGCCTGGCCCCTGGCAACGCAGAGGGGGATCCATAGAGAGCCTACAGAGAATGAGAGCTGGGGTTGGGGGCACGCTCAGTCATTCAGCCTAGCTACTTACTACTCGGCACTTCCTAAGTGGCAGGTGACCGACTAGATATGAGGATGACACAGGTGGAGAAAGATGGACCCAGCCCGCGTCTGGAGGGGTGTGAAATGCACCCGCAGGTGCCTTGATCTGGGGAGCTACGGGCGTCATTCCAACATCATCAGCATTTTCATTCTCCAACTTGTTATTTTTTACAAAAAAGCAAACGGCAACGAGCAGGTGGACATCTGCAACCGACTGTGATGCTGCACTCTCAGTGACCGGGGTCTGTGGGGCAGGCTGCTCCAGGGTCTGCAGGCCGCCAGGCCTGTCTCGCACAGAGCCTTTGGGTGGGTCAACCCCCAGTTGTTCAGCTGGCAGTGAGTCCAGCATCTCACTGGTGGGGGCCACAGATTTTGATAGTAGGGGACACAGTAACTTTGAGCTCCATCAGCAGCAAACATTAAAAAAATCATACTCAATTGTATTTCAGAATTCATCAATAAAAGCATTTGTAAATGTGTTTAAACACAAAGCGCAATAACATATTAAGACACACAGACAAAAATGTAGCTGTGCCAAAACTGACCGGCTGCCTGACCCCACAGCATCACCATAAAATGGATCACCCTGTCCCAGAGTTCAGGATCGGGGTGGGGAAGGGGGTTTGCTCTGCCCATCTTACAGCTCAGAGGGGACTCTATCTACACTGAAGACCACTTCTACCAGGGAGAGATGAGCTCCTAGAAATAACGAGGAGTTTCAAAAGTCTGTGCATGCTTTTGGATGTGTTGATGTGCTGAAACACAATGCATGAAATAAAGCTAAGAGGAGTAACTCCCAAGTGTCCTTTCAGGGGATGACTATCAAATTCGGGGGAGTCTGAACAGTAGTAAAGAATCTGCTTGGCTCTTCATAATTTACCATTCAGCATGGATAACAGACACCTGCTTTTATAATAACACAAGCAAGTTCTCTACTTCATTCATACATTACAGTACCACAACATTAATGTTTCCCCTTCTCCCTCAAGCTTAGGCCCCCACACCTCAAAGTCACTCACTGGTGGCCCTGAAGCAGGAGGGTTCGGCCTTTCCTTCCTCCAATGTCCCACATGATAATGCTGTTGTCAGATGCTCCTGAGAAGAGTAACCGCTGAATAGGGTCCCACCACAGGCAGGCAACACTACCTACGGGATTTCAGAGCGAGAAAAAAGGAGATGGATTACAACTCTACGTTGTGGTAGGGTGCCAGCAGGCTGATTCTGACTCACGGCAACTCTACAGGACGGAGCAGACCTGCCTGTGAGGGGTTCCTTTGCTGGAATCTTTACAGGAGCAGAACACTCTGTCTTTTCTCCCATGGAGTGGATGGTGGGTTTTAACCACTGACTTCTCAACGAGCAGCCCACAGCTTAACCACTGCACCATAAGGACATTAAAAAACCCCAAACACAAACCTACTGCCATCAAATTGATATGAACATTTCTGAGACTATAAATCATTATAAGATCTGAAAGCCTCATCTTTCATCTTTGGAGCAGCTGAGGGGTTTGAACTACCAGCCTTGCAGTTAGTGGTTCAAAGTTTCTCAGCTACACTGCAATGGCTTCTTCTCAGGACATCAGGACAGACAAGCCTGGCAGCTGAGTCTTCATTGTGGAAAAGGTCACTCACCATTTTATTATGAGTCACAGTGAAGGCAGCACTGCCCTGATCAAAAACTGATAAGATTGACCTTTTCACATATATATATGAAAGATTAGTCCAGAAAAAAAACTTTTAGAAAAAAATAGTCAAATTAAAAGGGAAAGTCATCCAGTAAGGTTTATTGTGGTCACTTCATACAAATAAAAACCTCGATTCTCCCACAACTCTATGACTTTGCAGAGTTTACCTCAAGATGTCTCTTTTTACTAAAATTAAACTAAGTGTCTCAAAAGAAAACACCTGTAGGTGAATCACACAATTATATCAGAGAGGGAAGATTTTTAAAAAAATCTAAACCATCTAAATCATCTCCTACACTGGACAACGTATCAAGTTTGATACCCTTGGGGGAAGCTCTTTTGGTGGATTACTTCCTTTGTCCACGGGATGGCTGCATGCCTGGAAAAATATTACTCAACTTAAAAAAACGGTATGAGTCACACAAGTCAATATTTATGGGGGATATACAGAAAACGGCTGTAGATGTAATCGAAAAAAAATATCAGAAACTAGTTTCTCATGCAAACTTTCCAAAAAGAAATACCGCATGCTGAAAAGGAACCCTTGTGGGGCTGATAACCACAAGCTTGAAGGTTCCAATCCACCAGCTGATCCTTGGGAGAAAGATGAGGCTGTCTGCTTCTATAAAGATTTACAGCCTCAGAAACCATAGACAGGGCCACCATGAGTCAGAATCGGCTTGGCAGCACTAGGTTGGTTTGGGTTTGGCATTATGAAAACTGGTTGGAGGTGCCTATAATGCAGGAAACCTGACCCTGTGTAATCCCGGGTCTCACACTACACTTCCGCTGGAGGCCCAGGAGCATATAACACAGGCTTTCAGTATGAACTCTGCACAGTCACCAGACCCATCCTGCCCCAGCAACCAGGGTCATAAGACCATTAGTCAGAAATGCCAAGTGGCTTCTTCAGGGGCTGTGCTTTCTGGTACACATCCTAACGGAAGTGACTGTCTCCACCCCCACCCCGGCCCCCACATCTGATATAATCTATCTCGCCTAACCAGAATAGCCAGGAAGCACAGAGTACAGTTAACACGGCTACACCTAGAGCATTACTGTGCCATGTAGGCCCATCAAGAGTTTGCTCTTTAATCAATTGGTTCTCAATCTAAGCTACATGGTGTCCAAGTTCCTAATTTGGGGCTCACAACAGAATCTGATTGCATGCTTTCTCTAAAAATTGTATTACCGTAGCATCTAACAAAATGTATCTATTATACAGCTGCTCATGATGAGTTACCGGTGCAGCTAATGACATTTCGAAGGCCTGCCAGGGCAGAGCCAACTTGAAGCACAGAAGAGAAACGCATTCCGCCCAGTCGTTCTTTTCCCTCAATCCCTGGTATGTTTCCCAAGGGGAGCCTCCAGCAGCCCCACATTTCCTCCAGGGGGACATATCTACCAACTTCCTTAACTGACACTGAAACTGACTCATGAAAAAAAAAAATACCGCTAATTCTTCCAAATATCTTGCCATTTACCACAAATTGTGTAAAGATCTTCCAAAAACAGTAATTTATGTTAAAAAATAATGGATATAACTCAAAACCCTACTTTCTACTCAGAGATCTAAATCCTAGTCAAGTTTAAATCTGATGGGTCATAGAGCTGATCTTTCTCGACACCAGGGGGAGGGGTGAGTTGGACACACAGACTGGGTGTGACAAGACCTGAGTGATTACACCACCTACCTTCATGTCCTTTGAGGGTTGTGATAACTGAACAGGTGCTCTGATCAAGCTTCAGCAGGGTGATCTGTCCAGAGTAATCCCCAACAAAAGCATACTGAGTATCAAAATCATATCTGAGGAGAAGCAGTCAAGGAGATATAACCACCGCTCATCTCAACACCCTTCCATAAGAGAGGTCCCGCCCCCCATTTATCAAAGTCATAAACAGAAAAGGTACAATTCGAGAATACGCACAAACCTGAAATTAGAACCAGAAAAGGGCAGAGCCAAGTGAAAACCATGCAATATGTTAAGATGGAAGAAAAAAGTGCAAACAGTTGGAATTTCTGACAATGTAAAGATTCATTTGCTCAACAAGAATTCACCAAGGAGCTCTACCGTAGCAAGATCCTAGAATCTGGTCATGAAAAAGATGACGAGGGTGTGGCCAACAAACATGAGAGCAGCCATCCAGCCAATAAAGTCTGAAAAGGAGCTGATTTCACAGTGAACACAGCAAGAAAGAGCTGGAACAAAGGGCTGCTCATGAAATCTGGACCCAATGCAAATGGAAAGCAGACCGAGGACTCGACATCTCTCTTAGAACAGATGGTCAAGCTGAAAGGAGGGAAGGCGGCTATCGTGGCTGGGGAGAGTTTTTAAAAAGCCCCAAGTCAGATACCTCTAGTAGCAGTAAATTTATATTATAAAATAAATTAACTATTGGTAACAATTCATTACTTTCTCAGTCCGTTTGGAGACACACACACACTGTGGGAAATCATTAGTTTCTATAATTTTAAAACAACCATTTCAACTCCAACAGATCAAAAGGAATCCCTTGGGCTAGGTCAGGACCATTTATTTAAGTCTGTGCAATTTTCTCTGTCAAACACACACACAGAGTCTGACATGTAGCAGGTACAAGAGGACGGGACATTTCAAAAAATTCAAGGGAGAAGTTCATTATCTCTTCATTCCATGCCTTCACAAACTTTTTGAAGTCTCATGGTATCTACATATTTTTCAATTGCTAACTTTAAGTCTCTTGTGCTATTTGCTCATTTATAGCCAAGATTTTTGGTAACAACTTTCAAGGCAAAAAGTAACTGCCTTCTGCCAGACATCTAACTCCGAGAAGCTACATGTTGCTGACAGTGTGGACCCTGACACCACTAAGACGGGCCAGTGAGATGTACATTTCAAGGAGGCTCACTTGTGGCCCATTTGGGTAGCCCAGGACCACCCCCCCTTATTATACGGTTGACCTCCTTACAGATTCTGCAAGTTACCGATCACTAGAAGATCAATCTATTCCTTACCTTCCTTCATGCAGCCACAAGCCTTTCCAGTGAAATGCACAGAAACGAGGGGAAGGGTTTGCACAAAGGAGACTTGGGGTTTCCACAATTGTGCATTAAAATGTACAGCACCCCCGAGGAAGAACACCATTCGTTTTGTGCTGCTTTTCCAAAAGCCTGTTTTACAATGCAGAACAGTGAGTATGAGAAGTCTTGGGTAGCATAGGAAACGGGTAGGAACCATCTTGTCTTTGGGAGTCAATCAACAAATGCTTGATTCAGAACTCAAGGCTGAGAAAAAGGGACGGGGAGCAGGGGAGTTGGGAAAGGAGGCGCCCGCGCTAGAGGGAGGAGGATACTGTAAACATGAGGCCCAGGAGGTGAAGAAGTGCCTCCCCAGCAGGCTCCCGCTCCGGGTGCACATCCAGCTGACACACTTGTCGTGGCCTGTGCTGATCACCCACTCCGTGGCCACGCTGAAGATGATGGCAGACACCCGGTTCTGATGAGCTGAAGGGACAGAAAGGGAGAGCCTGCACGCTTCCGTCTTGGCAGAAGCTACTCTCCACAGGCTGAGCTTCTCAAGCCGGCCTAAACCGTCCCCTGGCTGTGATCCTGATGCTCTGTGGACACACAGCCCCCGTAACCTGCCTGACCCGGGGGCGGTCCTGGGCACGGAAGGCAGTTAAATGCTAGAAATCATTAGAGAGCGATGTTCAAGAGAAATGGGAAAGTGGATTTGTTTACTGTGCTCAAGAAACAAAGTTACACGGTTTAATGTTTACAGAGCACTTACCGTTTCTGGAATAGCCCCTGTATGCGTAAGACGTTAATGCTTAAAAAGAAGGCAAAAGGTTGGAAGTTTCTCTAAAATAAGAGCTGAGAATGAGGGCATTATTTATTGTCTTTTAGCTACATTCTGGAACATGTACATTTTTAGGTTGATTATAAGCTACACTAGAGCAGCAATCTGTCTCTACTTCTGGTGGGGCTTCCACAGCATCTGGGATAGGGTCTGGGATGCAGTAAGTGCTTAATAAATTCCTAGTCAGAGGCCAGAGAGAGAAACTGCTGGCTCTGCCTTCAATGGCACAGGCTTCCGAAGGACTGAGAGAATATTTGCCCTAAAGCCTGTGAGAGTGGCAGCTTCACCATGATTAGAGAGTTAACAGATAAATGCTCATGACAGATTCTGATACTGTTTACCCGAAAATAAGACACTGTCTTATATTAATTTTTGCTCCCAAAGATGTGCTAGGTCTTATTTTCAGGGAATATCTTATTTTTCCATGAAGAACAATACGGTACACATTTATTGTTTACTGTTTTATTAAAAGAGACCACACACTTCCTGTCTGCTCCAGATACGCTGTGGCCAACAGTGAGCTGGGCAGTGCTGCCCGCCGCTATGGTCCAGAGTCCAGAGTTACGGTAGCTTTGGGGGGCCTTATTTTCAGGGGGATGGCTTATATTTCAGCGAGAGGCAAAATTGTAAGTAGGCCTTATTTTCGGGGGATGTCTTACTTTCGGGGAAACAGGGTATGTAAAGGTTATGCTACTTGCTGTTAATTTCAGACTCCAGTGAGCCAAGTATCAGACAACAAGATAAACCTCTGCTGAGATAGGGATCGGAGACACTATTGGCGTCTTTTCAGCTGAGGTGTTATTCCCAGTTTGCACAAATACTTCCACTTGCAAGTATGATCAGTTTTCAGATAAGAAAACCGAGAACCCAACAGGTTATTATATGTCCAAAGTCTCATAAGCGCTAAGTTAGCTGGGCTTGTGTAATTCCACACAAACACTTCCCACACACCCTCAGTTGTAAAACTCAGGCCAGAAGAGGAAGTTGGCACTCCTTTATGGTAAAAATATTGAATAGTTATTATCCTTCCTTGCAAAGAACTGTTGTAATTTCTTTCTTTCTTTTTTTTTTATTTAACTGTTCTAATTATATCCTCTCTGCCGTTCTGGTTTTTAAAGTCCTTTTATGAAATCAGGTAAAATCCAGTGATGGTTGCTTTGCTCCATTAAAAAATGTTAAACACCATCACATGGAAAACAAAACAAAAGGACAATCTCTGTATTAGTGCCCCTGAAGTTTTTTTAAATGTTAGTAGTCAACAAAATGCAAAGGGCAGAAACCATTGCCAAAGCTACACAGCGTGATAACTCATAAAACTGCTTTGAAAAACAAATACAGATTAAAAATATAACTAAGCATGTAAATAAGAGACAACTTAATAACAGACAAAATGATTTTATTAAGGAGTCTGCTTTTTGATAAAACTCCGCTCATCAACTGAACTACTGAATTATATGATATATGGGTTATTTGCTAATAAAACTGTTCATGTATATTTAAGAAAACCTTCTTATCAGGTATATAAGAGAGGTCTTTAATTTCGTAAGCATATACTCACTCCAGAGGACTTAAGCATTCCTGATTATTTTAAGCACAAACTAGGCAATGTCATCTGACAATTCAACTTTGTTGCTTTTTAAGTGTCATGTTCCATTTTAAAGGGCAGCTCAGAGGCTGGTTCTGCTTGTACAAAATTCAGTAATGCAAGACTGGAAAATGTCACCTTCATAGAAAAGCGGACGTGAGCAATGCAAGATACTCCGAGTGAAGAAGTTCTCATGATTGTTTCACTTTCACTCTAGTTTCTATTTGGAACGGGCAAGCAACTATCTATGGAAAGCCAGTTTGGCCTTCTTATTGAATTTCTATAAACAGCTATGTCATATAATTAGGACACATTTCACAAAGAAGATTAGACTTTTACTGCTACCCACAAGCATAAAATGTACACTTTTAGAAAGTCAGGGTGAATGAAATGAGACGAGCTATCCCTCCAAAGTTTATGGGAGTCACTGAACGGCAGCCCACTGGTTCTGCAACTCCCCTCTAGTCACCACCAGAGGCCTGCTTTTGTCAAGTGTAAAATACCACAATTTCCAGGGTAAAGTAAAAACTGTGAAAAGACTCCCAGTCACTAGTCCTACCATTCTAAAACTAGAGGGAGAATAACTCAAGCGCACTAAAAAACTTCCTAGTATTTACTTACTCAATTTTTGAGAATTTGCTTTAGAGAAGGAATTAGTTACAAACTTAAGCATTTGAGTTAACAGTCAAAGAGATACACACATAAATAGTATAGTGTGTGTCATTAGAAAGAGAAGTAGTGATAACGGCTTATCTTCAAACAAGCAGCCGCCTAAGTGAGGCAACAACTAAGTCCACGTGGAAGAAGTACAGCAGACTTTGTGATCCAAGGATTGTAAATAATATAATCCAAATCTGAAGGGAATGATCTGAGCTTAAACGGTGAACACCTGGCTGGCAGAAGGCTGGGGATGACAGGGATGTGATGGCCTTGTTATCAGACAAAGAGCAGTTAGGCCGATTACGGCAGATAGAGTTAGGTCACAATGTAATATCCTATCATCTGAGCTACCTTTTGGCCCATTTAATAATTGTTTTAGCTTAATAAAAAAGAAGGGGACATGCATGTGAATAGCCTTGTGATCATGCACAGTGCACTAGCAAGTGGATTACGGAAGATACAGTTCAGTTAAAGTTAACACCTTATCATTTATCTTTCTTTTGACCTAGTTTTTCTAGTTTTTAATATTTTCTGGTTCTTTTCAGCTGACATTTTCCTCTATTTTATTTTGTTATTGTTATTAGATCTTCTGTTTCTTTGTATGTTTTCGGTATATGAAATCCAGGACGGGTGAATCTATAGGTCGTGAGTAACTGATACCATGCCTCGAGGGCACGGTATGGAGGCTGGGGGAAATGGAAAGCTAATAATGGGCACAAAAGGAAATGTTCTAAAACTGATCTGTGGAGAGGGCTGTACAACTCTTCTTGAGTGGAACTACTGAATGGATGCTATTTGGATAATGTGCCAATAAAACTGTTTCAAAAAACAGAACTCGTGCACTGGCTCAATACTACGAAAGTGTCGAAGTTCCATCTGATGCATGCATACACTGTGATCAACACAAAACTTAAATGTTAATGAGCAGTAAGAGAATGGGAGATAATGCTAAAGAGCTAATGACTTCTCACAAGACTGGACAGACGAAACTGAAAAGCTAACATGAAAACCTAACTCTGATCATAAGAGACAGTGTTCCCGTGTTGTGTGTGTGTGTGTCTATATGTATACATGTACAGGAGTGTCTCTATTATCATTACCTGGGTAGGTCTTGATAAAATTCATCTTATTAAAATCTTCAGAAACATGGAATTCCTAAAAATAAACATATGCAATTAGAAAATATTACATTTTAAAAGAATAAAAAGATTAGTATTTGAAAGCTATGTAATTATCCACAACTAGTTATCGCAAGACTTGGGATATGTAATTAGCTATAAAAGTGACATGAATCGTCTCCGTCATCAAAGCGGTACTTAGATTCTCTGTTTTCTGGGGACCAGATTGACTAAGGAAAGTGTCGCTAACCAGCATAGCTCTTCTTCCACAAGTGACCTTTGTGCATGTCCTCTCTAACTACAAAGGAGGTTTTATGCTTTATTCTTAAATTTTGCTCTTGTAGCTACACAAAGAATTGTTTGTTATATAAGAATTAATCAATGCAGCACAACATATTAACTGGTGAAAGATCAACGTACAACAATCAGTTGTGTTTCTATGTACTAGCAATGAAGAACCCCTAAACAGAAAAAAGTTATCAATTACACTTAGAAGAGAGAAAACGTGTCCTTAGGGGAAAATGTAACCAAAAAGATGAAAGACTTGTAACACAAAAAAGTAGAGAGCTTTGTTGAAAAGAAATACGAAATGGAAATAAATGGCAAGCTACCCTGAATTCATGGATAGAAGACAATATTGTTAAGACGATAATACAGGTTGCCCTTGACTAAGACATAGCTGAGCTATGAGGAGCCCCACTGATAGCCATCTACTGTGTGTATGTGTACCTGGGGGGACTTTAGGGGGCATACATTTCATTATTGTATAAACTACACACAACATTGCATGGTATAATTTACTGATGTAATCATTACTAGATGTTCAGTATTATAATGCACTGTTCAAAACTATGCCATGTACTGCTTCTCGGCTGTTTGGCTAAGATCAACTGTAAACCAATCATATACCGCTTCTCGGCTGTTTGGCTAAGATCAAGTGTAAACCAATCATATACTGCTTCTCGGCTGTTTGGCTAAGATCAAGTGCAAACCAATCATATACCACTTCTCGGCTGTTTGGCTAAGATCAAGTACAAACCAATGCCAGGAGGCAGGCGATGGGGTGGTCTGCAATGAAATCCATGTGAGTGCCCGAGTTATAGTGGGTAGCTGTAATGGACAGAAGACGGGCGGAAACAAAGGTGAGGAAGGCTCTAGCCATGGACCTAACCACGAAGATCCTTAGGGCCTCGGACAACGGGAAGTCAGTGAAAGAGAACAGGAGGAAGGGCTGTCTTCTTCTACCCTTCTGACAATCATTACAAAGAAGAAAAGGATTCTGGAGGCAGTTAAAGAAATGATTGGTACAAAATCAACCATTTTAACAAAGAAAAGGCAAAGGCCAATCCAGGAGATGGAGAAGCTGTTGCTTGGGTTAGAGCCGAAACGGAAAAGGAGTCAGATGCGTTGATTTAGGATGCAAACGCAGGCACAAAGCCTTTTCGAAAACCTGGAGGAGCATCAAGGAGAAAACGTCTGCAATCAAAAAGCCACCAAGGGCTGCTCCATGTTTCCCAAACACAGAGTCGGCACACACTTGTGTGTGCTCACTGGAGAGTAGAATGTGCCAGTGTGGAAGCTGCTGAAAAAGTCAAAGATGGGCTGGACACGGTAATACAAGATGAAGCAGGTCTGGACCAGAATTTAAAACGTGGTCAAAAAAGGGCTAGTTTGGGGAAAGGATGTCAGACTGGACGATAGTCACAGAGAGAAGTTGGTGACAGGTTTCAAGACATCTGAAAGCAGAGCCATGAGGCTGCGTCAAGACAATGCTGCTGGATTTCAGTGCAAATCTTTTCTGAGTTACTGTTGTGAAACACCGCCCCCACCTCCCCCGCCCCCATCCAAGCATTTAAATGCAGTGACAAAAATAAGCTGTGGGTCTCCTCAAAATGTGACTCCAAGGGTCCCAGTCCATGTGGCAAGGACATTGCATTCTGAAATTAGGTATCGCTCGCTGAGGGGAAACAGTCCACGGACCACAAAGCACGGAGCTGGACAGTCAGGACATGGTGGATGTTGAAGAGGAGAGGAACGCTGCAGACAGCAGAAATAATGAGAAAGAGGAAAAAAGAAAAGCTGTCCTCCCCCCCCCCCAGTGAGAGGACTAGCTGCAGCCTTTGCAAACTAAATGTGTGGCGTCTGTTGTTTGGAAACTCGGGCTCAAACCCTGAGACCACGATCTCGATGAAGACAAGAAAAGGACCAGAGACCACGCGCACCTGTTTTCTGACTAGAAACGCTTTCCTCACTCCCGGTGAAAATCCAGATCATCCAGAACCTTCCATAAACTGGAGTTATTATGGCAACTGGCAAAATACCAAATATTCGCCCAATTCTTCTTTACCATTGGGAGTAAATTTTTATGATTCGTGTATTTTTTAAGTATGTATACATGTATTGAAATATATCTATAAATTCATATGTAATTTTTCCAACCCCAAAGACAAATAGATTGAATTTTTCAGTACTACTAAAAAGCAATAATGAAAACCAAAAGGAATCCCATTGAAAGTCAAGGACTACCTACAACTTCCAAAATGATCTAGAGACCACAAAATCCCTGTGAAAAGTCCCACTGCCCTTTTTAAAGAAATAAATAAGCTTGGCATTCATACTGAGTGTTTTGAAGGCTGTGCTTTGTGAGCTGGCCTGAGCACCAAACTTTCCATCACAACAGCACACCGAGCTCCACGGAAGTTGTTTAAAATGAATTCATCTCTAGGGCTAATATTCATTGCTGAATTCATCATAGTTCTATGGCAATCAACACACAGAGAGCACTTGCTGTTAAGTCTATTTAAACTGCCCCCGAGGGGTGAGCATGGGGAGGTCAACAGAAAGAATATAATAAATCCATCTTGGAAGATACCTACCATCACGGCTCCGTTATCCTGGCCCACAAAGAGGCGTCTACTGTCATGATGGTAAGCCATAGCGGAGCAAGGAGCTGCCAGACAGACAAATACCACATTAAGAGCAAAGCTACGCATTTTTTATTTTTTTATTTTCCCACAGCTAAGCATTTTAAGTCATCGTCCAAGTATATTATACAAAAGAGCTGTACAACTAGTTAAAATAGTTTAAAAGAGAGGTACAAATGTGTGTGTGTGTAAGACAGAGAGAGAGAGAGAGAATTATGGCATACATTTCAAATGTTATTAAAGTTCTGTCTGTTACATAGGAGAAACATGCTAACTGAAAACCTTCTACATTATTTTTATGATTTTGGATGAAGTAAGCCATCTTGAGGCTTTATCTGACTGAAATGCCTACTTTTTGCCTGGAGGAGTGTGGAACATGGCACTTACATTGGGATTATCTGCTACCTGCATGCTCAGAGCCCATTTGTTTTTGCTACTCTTCCCATCCACAGAAAGAAGAGTTGGGGCCCCTGGAAAGAGGGGGTCCCTGGAAAGGCTGCCCAATCTATAGCACTATATAAGAGAGGTAGGAGGCAAGGTCACTAAGAAATTACATTTTCTCCCAGTGGTCACATACTAGTCCCTTTTATAATGATAACACGCAACCCAGTTTGTAATAAGCAGTGAAGGGACTCACACTCATACAACCCCCTCTTCCTTGTCGAGCTACAGTTCTAGACATCATGGGCAGGTGAATGTTTTCCAGAAAGAAGAAATGCTGTATCATTCCCTTCCAATAAAAAATCAGAGCTGAGATCATGTAGAAAATGGAACATTTGGGAGAAAATGTGTTTGGGTATACTTTAACCTAATGGATTTTAGTTGTCTGTGTTAGAACCCCAACCTTAAACAACAACAAAAACCACTTGAATGTATTTTAAAAGAAAATGTCTAATAAAGTAAGAGAATAAACTTGTAAATGAAGTTAGCATCTGAAAATAGCTGAATTTAACATGATCTGTACTGGGCTGATATTCACCATCAAAAGATGGAAGTAACACTACAATATTGGATCATATCCAAAACGCAGCAGCATAATTAGAAGGGAGGGAGACCGTGGCAGTTGGATTGAAAGGTATGCACACAAAGTAGTCATCTCTCTAGAGAGTAACTGGAATTGAATACTCACCATATATTAATGATTGAAACTACAAAGAATGATTGTACATATAATCGGAGTGCTCTTTAATAGCCATGCCTGCAAATTCCTTTTGACAAATCAAATGAATTTCAAAAATTCATTACCATTGTTTTTGTTGGGTCTTCAAATAGTACTAGATTTCAGTGTTTTAGTTTTAAGACTCTTTACTAAAAAAAAAAAAGTTTTAATAACATATTGTGTATACATATATATAGACATACTCCTTGTGTTTAAAAATGGCAATGTACTGAAGAATTTCATAAGGCTACATTAAAAAAGGAGAAAAAAGTGTGCCTAGTTTTTTGTTTTGTACATAAAAATACCCTAATTTTTTCCTAGATGGGACACTTCTTGTGAGATAAGCAATACAAGGAGGTACCCCCCCCCCAAAAAAAAAAAGGACAAACACTTTGATCCTTTGTAGTATGCCGCTTTCCTGCTAGGTGACCATCAAGCAGCTTGCTCTCTGTTAGTGTACCCAGTGACATTGCCTGGGAAGGTTCTCTTTGGTCACAGTGAACTTAATCTTAACAGCAGTTTGTGCAAACCTTGCATTTTGTAATGGCTGATTTAAGAAGAGCAGCATGCTGCTCTGAAACTTTGTTTCCTGCTTGGGAAAAATGCTGCAGAAACTGTGTGATACGGAACACAGCTTACAAGAACAGCACTATGGGAAAAACCCAGTGTACGGGTGGTTTTCTAGTTTCAAAAAGGGTGAAATGTCGGTTGATGACAAACCTTATATGTCTGTCAACTTCCTGAATGGGCGAAAATGTTGACTTGTAGTGCATTTTGAGTTCATTCCACCAGGTCAGACCAGTTAATCATGCTTTCTATTTAGAGGTTCTGAAAAGATTTCATAACAGTGTGCAACAAAATAGGCCCGATTTGTAGCAAATGGGGGACAGGTTTTGCCACAACAATGCACCTGCTCACGCCATCTCGGTGTGCCAGTTTTCGGCAAAAAAATAGCAATGCCTCTCTTGCCCCACGCACTTGACTCCCCTTACCTCACTCTCTGTGATTTCTTTTTGTTTCTGTGAATGAGGAGGGACATGAATGGACAACTAGTTGACGACACAGAGGAGGTGAAGGAAACAAGGGAGATGCTGTCAGCCATCCTAACAGATACGTTTGAAAGGTGTTTCCAAGAGTGGAATTGCAGGTTTGACAAATGTATTAAGTGTAAAGGACAGTACTTTGAAGGTGATAAGGTTTTTTGTAAAAAAATTGAAACACATAGCTTTGAAAAGAGAATTCCATTTTTTTCAGGGGGGGGGGCACCCCCTGTATAAATTTTAAAAAGAAGCTAGGTTTTGGATATTCAGGTACTTTTATAAACAAGCAAAGATTCTCTTTTATATAAGTAGTCTTAAAAAGCATCACTGCAATCCAAAATTGTATACTGGAAACTCTAATAAAATGTAACAGGGACTTCCTTTCATGAGAGAATTCAGGATTGCCCCAGGCAATGCCAGAATCAAGAGTAGCCACAGAGACTGGCTGCTCTGCAAAGCAGACATGTTTAACTGTCCAGCCCTCTGCAGAAAACGTCTGGGGACTCACCCCAAACTGTGGAGGCAGCAGTTTGGGGTCAGAGACTGCTGACACAATTGAAAGGTCAACCACAAGCAATTGACTTAACTACTCCGGCCTCAGTTTCCTCATCAATAAAATGGTGACAACGGCATCTACCTCATACAGCTGCTGTGATCATTTTACAGTGATTTTCTTATAGCAAGAACTTTTTCTCTCTCATGAGCTATGCTCTGACACATATTTGTACTCTGTAGCAGCACATTAGTTAGGTTCACTTATCGTGTGCCGGGTCATGGGAACTGAGCTGAAATTGGTAGACAGCTTTAGAACAGTGGTTCTCAACCTTCCTAAGGCCGTGGCCCTTTCATACAGTGCCTCATGTTGTGGTGACCCCCCAACTATAAAATTATTTTCGTTGTTATTTCATAACTGTCACTTTGCTACTGTTATGAATCGGGCAACCCCTGTGAAAGGGTCATTCGACCCCCAAAAAGGTCGCAACCTAGAGGTCGAGAACCGCTGCTTTAAAAAGTCCTAAGTTGGGTCATCTGCAGACAGTTCCACAACCAACATGGGGCTTTTACCTCTCAGGTTTTGCTTTTATCCTGAAGTGTGACAGTCCTCCTAACAAGCAAGACAAGCCGGTGCTGCCTGTCATTCGCTCAGAGCTTCCTTGCAGTCACCAGTGCACAACTCCAGGTGGAGCCAATGAAGCCGCACCTGGTACTGGTAGACTGACCACGTGTAAGTAAAACACGCAGGTGTCGGCCCCACACAGCAGAGGTGTGGTAGTTATGACGTGCAGACACTCCTTGCGGAAGGACACCCACATCCCAAGAGGGGAAAGCATGGAATGGGGACAGGGCGCGAGCTAGAGTCAAGGGCCCAAGACCTAAAATTCAAGAGAACAGGCGAGAGGCACAGAGAGGCTGCATATGCTTAAAGTTCTGAGTTTCAGTTGCTAGGGTTTTGGTGTCCTGGGAGAATTTTTCATTACAAAGCTACACTAAAGACTTTGGGGAAATACAAGCCTAAGTGTCACTTGAGATTAAACACAGGACAAAATCCATCTGTTTCTTGCAGCCTCTCTCTCTTCTGTTCTTGTCATGACAGCAACCCCATGTGACAGAGCCAAACTGCCCCATAAGGTTTTCTAGGCTGGCAGTCTACTGGAAGCAGGTCATTCGATTTTTCTCCCATGGAATAGCTGGTTTGAACTGCCAACCTTGTGGTTAGCAGCTGAGCATTTAACTGTTGTGCCACTACGACTGCTGTATCTTTCTCTTCCGGTGAGCATGAACTTCAAGGATAAGACCTCCTAGAGATTAAGCTGTGGGCACAGGATGCAGTCCAGAGGAAGGGAGGGGGAGAGGGATCATAGCAACAGCATTAGCAAGATTTTCCAGATGACAAAACATTCCCCCGCACCAGTGGGGGCTCTGCGGGTCACTGCCATTTCCAGCTATCAGAACCCGAGAGGAGGGGTCATGAGCCCCGCAGTCCTATTTTCCCCTCAGTCAGTGAAGGGTGGGCTTGGAGGCACAGGGTCTCCCACTGCCCCTGTCTGGTTCCAAAACGTCAGTCAACACACCAAATGGAACCCAAAGGTCCCTCTGCTAGGACACTGCCACTTTTTATTTCAGAATGAGAAAGTACAGGGGTTTGGTCTGTAGACACAGGATAAGATGGAAGTATGACCACTTGGGACAATAAATTGTGATTATGTTTTTAGGTCATCTTTCTAACCTTTCTGTAAAGTTTTATGGCTACTTTTGTAATAATCAACTCGGTGACAGTGGGTGGGTTTGTAATAGTTACCTTTATGTACCAATAGTCCTAAAAGCCAATTTCACTCTCTTGAATAATTATCAAGCCAAAGGAAAAGGCAGTTGCCTGGGTTTGTCTGAAGTGCCCCATGGGAGGAGGAACGGAAGACAATTTGAATGGCGGGTCGTGGCTGTGACCTTGATTTCTGGGTCCCAGCATTGCCGTGGGATATAATGGGGGAAAAGGAGAAAACACCAGCCCAGGGGGAGGTGCTGGGAAGAAGGGAGCAAGGAGCCTGAGGAATGTGCTGAGTAACAAGATGTCTGGAGCTGCTAGACAGCCTTGTCCAGGGGCATCCATGGCGTCTGAACTTGCGTCAAGAGCTCCGCTGTGGAGCCATTTCTAAACAGCTGCAGTAGTGAGCCTCACGCTCTTTCCCTGGCGGGGGCTACTCTGAAAACTAACCGCCTTCAGTGGGGAAAGCCTCTCATCAGGCACCTGAACCACAAGAAGGGTGCCTGCTGTGGGAGCAGTCTGGGAGAGCTGGGATCAACCCCAGCTAGGGCTAGGTATATCTAGGCATCCAGAGCTGAGGTTGGGAGGGGGCCCAGGGCAGGGGTGGGGTTTACAAGAAAGGCCAAAGGGGAGATGTGAGAGGGAAGAGTGGTGAGCGCTGCTGCCAAGCTGTGTGCACAGAATCAGAGTTGACATGTCTGCCCACCCAATTTTATGTAACCCAGGCAGTCACTACCCAACCCGGGCACGGTTTCAAAATGGCAAAGCACAAGTTTTAGTTTGTAGATTGTAGACCATACTTGGGTGCTGAGAAAATTCTCTTAGAACGGTGTTGGACCTTGGACCAAACATCCCAATAGTACATGCAGAAAGCGGCAGAAGCTCCTGGATGGATTAGGCTAGTTCAGAGCCATGTGAGTGCACAGTGCACGTTAGGGGATAGTTAGCAATCACTAAAGATGAAGTTATTAAAAAATCACGAGTTGTATACAATGGCCAAATAATTGATTCGTAGTATCAAACCGAGACCAAAGAAAACCAGTAGGAGCCCAAAACAAGATGTTTTTCTTCTCTTCCCACTGCCCTCCTGCTTCCGTTTGCAGGCGCCACTTCAGTGAAGACAGTATGAGCCAACTTCCTGCGCAAAGGCAAGGGGTTTTCCTAGGACGCACCACAGCCTGTGAGAGGGCTGGGCAACCAAGAAACTCATCCTGAAACCAAGGGGCATTGTCACCACGCACCGTGGCATTGAAACCAAAGACGACATGGGAGATATTCTTCTCCAGGGGAACAGTTCACCTACTTACATGCCATGGTGTGGTAAATGCTGGGCCAGTACTGGCCACTGTCTCTCTTCAGCCATACTCGGATAGTTCTGTGGAAAAAGGAGAGGCGGTGTCATCAGTCATTTTATTCTCTCTTGTGGGCCAAGAAAGCGCATCAGTATCATTAGTAGTTTCCTTCAACTACTATGTCCCACATGACGTTATAATCAACAGGACAGGATCTTCAAAAATATCACATGCACAAGTCTGCTAGTAAAGCCGAGCTGAGAGGAAACCTATTTGAAAGTTGCCCATCCCTCTCACAAGGTTGTTGGAATACCAACTAGCACAACTTCTCTGATCAGCAAATAACATGTAAAATTCATTCACCCCTCTATGTGTGTTGTCTACTCAGTATATTATAGCAGCCAGTAGTGCTCCTTTTAGGGATTCATGCCACAGACACAATATAAGGAAGTTTGTTACGAAGCTAGTTTCATAGCAAGAGTGAGTTGTACAAATATTTCAAACTATCCCATGACCGTATATGGCATATTATGCAGCAACAACAAGTTAGGAGCTCAGATCACTTTAAGCACGTGGAAAATGATCATTACATAATGATAAGCAAAGAAACGAAGGTAAACCACTTAGCTTGGCAAAAACAAGTTGGGTGAATTTGGTACCTGAACTGAGTCAACGGAGCAACATTGTCGATGGAAATGGAAAGAAAACGCTCACGGAGACCTGGACACTAGACAGAAGGGCAACAGGGACAGAAAGCAGAGGCGGCTCTGCTTCTCATTCACTGATAAAGCTTGGTCTTCTCAGCCCCGGGAGGAAATCATTCCACGCCATGCTTCCGGGCCACAGCTTTCATCGGAATGCACACAGGGAGATGAGGAAATCCTGTCCGGACTCGGGGCCATCGCAAATGACTGCAAGAGCCCGCGTTTCCCGTTCTGCCTTTCACCGCAGAGAAACCAGGAGGGGCACAGAGGCTCCTGTAAGCTCCCGGCCTCCCTCCTGGTGCCCTCTGGGCCTGTGGGTACAATCACTCATAGCTCGCTTACCGGCCCCAGGGGTCTGGCACCATCCCGTCACTATTTTGAACAGCAGCATGGATCTCGACACACAGTAGGTGCTGAGTAAAAACTTACAACCTTAAAGTCAAGAACATGAAAACTCCTGCATGATGTGCATGGTGAAGGAATCATCTGGAAAATGGATGGAATACAAGGACGGAATATAATTAAGGTCACGGAATCGTCCCACGCTGTGGGAGCTTCAAAAATTTCATGGAAAAAATGCATTACTTTTGCATTCCATTTTTCATGAGCATTTCTGAAGCCCACCCATATGTTCCCTCTTTTCAGTTTAAGACAAGTAAAACTAGTTCCGGGGGGATAGAAATCACGAGAGCAGCTTCCTCTGGAGCAGGACGAGAGCACAGACTGCAAAGGCTGTGAGGGAACTTTCCAGAGAAAGGGCAGAGTGCTGTGGGCTGGGACCCACTTGCATACACATTTCTCAGACTCAAGCAACTAGCCACCCTTTGAAGATCTGCGCCGTTTTCCTGCCTGTGACTACTGTTGCGGGGTGCCCCGGAATCCGTCTGACTCACATAACCCCCCCGGACAACAGAACCTTACCGTGTCAGGGCCTGCGTCCTCCCTCCCATCTTTCCTGTGTGTGAGCCCGCTGTTGCGGCCTTCTTGAAGGGCTTCCTTTTCCCACTGACCTTCGACCTTCTACTTCATTATATGCCACGTCCTTCCCTCGGCACTGGTCCCCCCTGCTAACACATCCCGCATCCTTGAGGTGACGTCTGGCTGTCCGAGATTCTAAGGAGCATTCTGGCTGTCCTTCCAGGACTAACTCGTTCATTCTTCCCGTGCCCACTGCCACCGAGGTGGCTCTCCCTGTGAGGGTTTCTGAGACTGCCAATCTTTATGGGAACAGACAGCCTCATCCTTCTCCCATTCACACATCATATATGGGATGAGACCGAAATGAAGCAAAAATAAAGCCTAGATCAGAGACCCCAGGGGCACCGTGTACTCGACACTGACTAACTGGGAAGTCAGTGGTTAGAACCTACAAGCCACTGGAGGGGAGAAAGAGGACGTCACCTGCTTCCACGCCATCGCTGCTGCTGTGAGAGGCTGCTGAGTTCCTTCCGACCCCTAGCGCCCTATGCACAAAGGAACGAAACACCATCCTCACGACTAACTGTAAATCCGTAAAGACTTAGGGCCCCGAAACCCTGTGGAGCAGCTCCACTCTGGTCTCTAAGGGCACCGTGGGTCGGGATCCACTACCCGCCAGTGGCTTTTGTTGTTGTTGCGTTTTAAAAAGACTAGATGCTTGCCTTCCCTCATCCTAACAAAACAAATGAGACGAGCAGGCAGCCACTGGGAATGTAATGGAGTTCTGTCTGCGAACTGAAGCAAAGCCAGTCACTCTGGATTAGGGGCAACGTGGCATACAGCATGTCCTGTCAGGGTGGGAATCCATCCCTTCTCTTTTCAAACCACACACTTCTCCCTCCTTTCATTTGGCGACCATCTCCCACTTCTCAGATTAAAGCAAACCAATGATCAATTCAGCGTCGAACACAACAGCACTCCTAAGAATTTGTGAATGAGACAGAGTTGCACAATCTGTTAGTCATAAACGTTGCTTGCTTCTTTGCTCAAACAATTCTCATGGTTAAACCCGCAGAAAACCGTTACACGCACTGCCTGTGAGTCCATTCCCACTCACAGCGACCCTCGAAGACAGGGTAGCACCATCCACGTGGGTTTTTGAGACTCTCGCTGTTTTGGGGAATAGAAAGCCTCACCTTTTCCCCACGGAGAGGCTGGTGGCTTCAAACTGTCAACCTTTTCATTGGCAGCTCAACATGTAACCCAACAAGCTGGGGCTCATTTTTCAGAAACCCAAACACCCAATACACTGCCATGGAGTTGATTCCGACTCATGGCAACTCTATATAGGGTTCTAGGCTATCAGTCTTT